TTGAGAGAGAGGGAGAGTGGGAAAATGGAAAGACAGGAAGGCTGAGAAGAAAGTAGAAAAATCAGGAGATGATGTTAAGAGATGGAGAAGGACAGGAATACAAGAAGACAGACAGGACAGGACAGGTAAAGATGAAGGACAACAAGGAAGGGAGGGAGAGGTAGAGAGTGAGGGAAATGGACAGAGGGGGAGACAGAAAAAGAGCAATGGAAGGAGGAAGAGACAGAGAGAGGAAGCATGAAAGGAATACAGGGAGGGAGGAGGAAAGACTGAGGATAGCCAAAGACGAGGACAAAAAGAAAGGAAGGAGAAGGACTACAGGAATAATGTTATGGAGTGAGACAGGATAGGTAGAGATTAAGGACAAGAAGGAAAGAGAGGTAAACAGATGAAGAAAAGAAGACAACGAGGGAGGGAGGAAGACAGCAACGATAACAGGGAGGATGAACAACAGAGGAAGAAACTGAGAGAAAGGATGAAAGGAATACAGGGAGAAAGGAAGATAGAAAGATGGAGGACAGGTAGAAAAAAAGGACAGCAAGGAAGGAAGGGAGATAGGAAAGAAGAAAAAGAAAAAATTAAGAGGAAGGAAGAAAAATGGATAAAAGGAAGATGGAGATGAGGGAAGAAAAACAAAAATAGAGAGGAAAACAAATGAAAACTGAAGAGACAGCGAGAAGAGCGAAGGAGGAAGACAGAAAAGACTGAGGAAGAATAAGGAGATAACAGGAGGAAAACAGGGAAGAAGATGTTAAGAGAGGAAGGGTGAGAGGAGTACAGGGAGGGAGAAAGACTGAAAAAGAAGAGAGAAGAAAACAGAACGGGAGTGAGGAAAATGGAGAGAAGAGAGTAAAGAATAAAGAGACAGATGGGAAGAACACATGAGGAGAGGGAGGAAGATAGGAAGAAGGAATAAAACAGGGAAAAGTTACACAAAGGGAAAAAGGTAGCGAGAGAGGGGGAGGGAAAGGGAGAAAGGGAAGAAGGGATGGAGAAAAGGAGACAGAGAGGGAGGGGAGAGGGAGACAGGAATAGCAGAAGGACAGGAAATTGTGGGCACTCAGGGAAGAAGACATTGAGAAAGCGAAGTACAACAGGAATACAAGGAGGGATTAAAACAGAAAGGAAGTAAAGACATGTAAAGAGGAAGGACAACAAGGAAAGAAGGCGAAGAGTAATTCTAAGAAGCGGAAAAGACGGGATGTGAGTGAGGAAGAGAGGTAGACAGGTAGAGAGGGAGGAAAATGGGTAGAGAGGAAGGTGGAGGTAGGAATAGAACGGGAACAGCTGATCCAGAAGCGACAACTCCAATGGTTTGGCCTTCTGCTGCAGCAGCGCGCCGCTCACTGGAGTACAAAGCGTGACGCTTCGTGGACGACCTCCTCTGCCGACCACCAGGGACAAAAGAAGAAGAAAGAAATGGAGAGGAAGGAAGAAATAGATTAACAATAACACTGAAATAATAAAAACTAAAGAGTACACTTTTTAAATAATGAAAACTAAACTGAAACAAGCCAAAACACTCTGAAAACTAAATTACACTAAACTGAATTAAAAAGAAGTCAAAACAAAATAACAATAAAAACTAATCATATGACACAAAACTATTACAACTCTAGTAAACTGGGAAAAAATTGAGAAAGAACCCAGGACAGAGTGAAAGACAGGTAATAAGATAGTGAGACAGAGTGGAGACAAGGAGGAAAACAGAGCATTATAGAGAGAGTGAAGAAGTCCCAGAGAAGTGAGGACGATGGGGAGACAAGGAGGAAAAGCATTATAGAGAGAGTGAAGGAGGAAGCCTGGGAGGCAGAGAGGATAGACTGGGATGAAAATAGGAAGAAAGAATAAGATGGGTATAAGATGAAAATTACAACTGTATCAATGTTTTGCTGTTTTCTCCATTCTCACCCTGCACACCTTCATCTGTTCTGCCCTCTGCTGTAATCCCACCATCAGTCTGTAATGGTCTGCTTCTGTTGTTTTACCTAAAAGTACAAAGGAAAGGTATCAGGAAAAGCTTAACAATTTTATTTTAAAATTAATCATTTAAATTGGTGTGTATCATGATCATTTCAAAGTAGCAAAAAAGCATACATGCACTGGTGCAGGGGCCCCTCTCTGAATGCAGTTTTAGTAAAGAAAAACAAAATGAGCCACTCAGTAGCATAAAGATTAAAATACGTAAAATAAAATAAAATAGCGGTTAAAAAAAAAAGATATTTAAAATATTGTTGTTTTTTGTCAAATGTTTGTTTAAATATGTTAAGATAAGGGGTGGGACTCGATTAAAAAAAATAAATTAGAGGCTTCATAATTAATTAATCTTAATTAAGCACATTTGATTGCACAAGAAAATTTGCCCCAAAGCGCAAAAGGTTTTCTAATTAAAAAAACAACAACATTTAAACTGCATTGCAATGCAAAACAGAGAAAAAAAAACTGACTTTATAAAAGACTTAAAAATAAAGTGTTATTTTAAATACTTTAAGTACATTTTCAAAATGGTATTGTCTTTAAATAACAATAATTAAAATTTCAACACAAAGTGCAGTTTTTCTTCTGAAAAAAAAAAGAAGACAAAAAACAAAAGGTTACTTGAATAGCTTCACCTTTAAACTCTGAGTAACCTTAGCCAAAATTATTTCGTACATTAGGTTAAAACAGTGTTACCATTGAACATTTTAGTGCAAAAACAAAAAAAAAACCAAACCCACTGGACTCACAATATCTCCATTCTTATTTACTGTACATCTCTTTCAGCCAGTTACTTAGACAAACTAGCCTGTTCACATTTTCAGAGCTCAAGGCAGCTCTCTGTTTTGTTACCATGTGACTTGCAAGTGAGAACAGTCACTCACAGACTAAACAAATACTTGCAGGCCAGGCCAGGACAGACAGCTGTGGGTGGGTCGCTGCTCGACTGGAACACCACTGCAGCGGTTTGCAGTCTGTTTGGCTAATGGTGGATTTTGCGCTGTACAAACTCATCTGAATCTGAAGGACATTTTCTAACCCCCTATTTTCTACCACTGATAGTGGTCTACAGTCCGAGCAATCCATTGTGCGAGAAAATTTGTAAGTTTGTCCGATGTTGACTTAATAATTTTGGTCCTGAAGCCAGTCATTTCATCAAGTTTGAGCTGCTGACACCTTTTGTTTGTACTCGAACTGCTAACGGTACCAGCTCCCACAGTTTCTGTGCTTGCTGCAACATGTTTTGCATTTAGTTGGTACCATAAGGTTGAAGTGTTCTGGTGGTATGCAAACTCATTTTTGCACGGGTAGTCTTTTGAAAACGAAATTTGCCTCCGATCAGTCCTAGCAAAGTTGCCCTTTGCTTGAAATGCAAAGTGCCATTAATTGTTATTTGTTATTTTTAACTCGTTATTTTTTTTTTCATTAATTAATCACAATCAACACATTATATTGTCTACCCCTAGTTAAGACAAAACCAATAATAATAATAAAAAACTAAACAAACAAAACTGGCTTTATCCACTGTTGAAATTGCAGTTCTTGATATTTACACAGATTTGTGTACATTTTATTAGATGCAGAATTTTGAACACTTAAAACAAAAAAAAAAAAAATGATGCTAATGCAAGTATGCAGCAGTGAAGAATTCAAATGTTATCCATTTTAAAATCCACTACAACTTACATTTATATACCACATTGTAACTTTCCATAACACTATACCAGTGGTCTCAAACTGCAGTTATCGAGGGCCAGTGTCCTGAAACATTTCCATGTGTCCCTGTTGTAACACACATGAATAAAATTAGTAGGGCATTAACAAGACTATAGAACTTGACTGCATGCTGAGGTGGCAATTTAGCCTTTTGATTCATATTACAGAAGCTCATGAGCGAATTTTCTTGGTAGGGTTAGGAGTTGGCATGTCAAGCAAAATGTCATTTTGTACAAACAAAGTTAAATGTGTACACAATTAAAAATAAATAAATAAATCAAGTTTACCAATTGACTTTACAACTAAAAGTTATGTTGTGCAAGGAAAAGCCGTTATCTGGGATCAAGACAAGTAGTTTGTTTGTTTTTTTTTACGTGGAAAAATAATGCTAGGAAAGCACTTTTAATTTTTGCTAATTTCTAGTTTTATCCAGCACAATACAGAAAAGCTAAAAAGGCCAAAAAAAATCAGAAAGGGAGCTCTTACCTCTTCAAAGGTGGGTGAACATCTGAGAACACAATTCTAACATAAAACATTTAAAAAAAAAAAAGAATATCAGGTGTGCCTTCTTCAGGGTGTAGCGATACAAAGCTAAAAACAAAACAACAGTGGGTTCACTCAAAACACCTGCGCTAACACTTACTACATGCATCATTTTCTTCAGTCTCTAGGGGCAGTAGTGAGGCCATCCTCCAGGAAGTACATGGCCCCGTTTCCAACCAAAGATAGTGTACACCACAATATATATATAACACAGGATAGTTAAATTAATATTAAATATGCAGCACTGTTATGTGGCGCTAAAGTGTGCCGGTAGTCCTGACGGTCACTTCTCACCGCCATTTGCTGCTTCACTTCTTGCCTTTCTGCATGTCCAGCGATTTAGCTGCACACATGCTGCGGCGATTGTGAAGTGGAGACTGCAGCTGCTGAGGGTGCACTACTGCTGAACCTTTGGATGGCCGACAAAACGGCTCTTCCGATGTTTTCAGCTAAATCCCTGGGCATGCTGGTAGGCGAGCAGTGACTGTCAGGATCACTTTAGCGCCGGAGGTTTTCGTAAAGCTTTTATTTTGGTATTTCCGTTGACCCGTACAATAAGTTTCTTGTAACATTTAGATTTAAAAATTTACATTTAGATTTAAATGTAGTATTTAGATTTAACATTTAAAATTGTGTTTTAAACATTAAAAGTTACAAATATTTTACTAAATGTTGTAAAAAGTGACAAAAAAAACATGTTTTTGTAAGGTTTTGAGCTAAATGTGGAAAAATGTTGCCGCTACTTTCAGCATGTTTCAGTTTACAAACGCTGCACCACACAGTGTTACTAATGAAAGATAAAACATTTGGTCAGCTCTAGTCAATTACAAAAACAGCCACCCTAATGTGAGACCAAGGTACTGAATACAAAAAAGCATAAGGTGTAAGGCCTCAAAAAGACCTGGGTAACTGGTGGCCTTAAGGACATAAGTCCAAAATACTTTTCTGTGTTTGAGGCTTGTGAATTTATTCCCACCCCTGGCAACTTCTGGTTTAGGATTGAAAGACTCCCAATATGATCTTCCATGTTGTGTTTAGCCCTAGGGAAATGCCAGTATGAATGGTATCCCTATGTGGTATTCCTATATTAATCCACCTTGTCCGTCAGTATACTTTGATAATAATAATTTATAATAAAAAAAAGTTTATTTGGTTGAAAATTTGCATTTAGCCCAGTGCAACCAAGTTTCTACTTTCAGGCAGAAAGGGATAAAAGTCCATAAACTGGATTTGGAGGTCCTGGTCAAAATGGGATACTGTATGCGTCTCAGTCTCACATCCCATAAAGAAGGTTCTTAGTGAGGGATGAAGAGTTGTTTATGTTAATTATTTAATTTAATATTTTTTAAAAGCGCTGTATAAAAAAACAAAACAAAAAAAAACAATTAATGTATTCGTAGCTACTGAACAGAGAGAGTGGGGCCACCAAGAACCACTGAAAGAGCACGATGGGGTAAAAGCACACTGGGCAAAACTGTCTCCAGGTTTACTTGAATAGCAAAGAAAACTAGCAACAGTCAGTATTTCAGTAACAAAGTCATTCTAATTAATCAGATACACAACAAAGAAACCAGATTCTTTTATTAAAACTTGATTTTAAAACACTGCTGTTGTTACAAGGAAAACAATTTGTCATCTGTTAAAGTGTAAGAAATGTGTAAAATTACAGCGAAAGTTCAGTAATTCATTTCCCACCGAGTGTCCTGTAATTAAAAATGTCAATCCATAGAAAATTACTGTACTATTGGTATAAAACTAAACTCTGTACTTAAAAAAAACACAGGAGATATTCTGTCATATATCTGTTACTTAATTACATTTGTATGAGTGGCCATGGTGGAGGTATTTATCAGTGAAAAAATACAGCTAAAGGTCCAAAATGTATACCTCTCCTTCACTTGTTCTAAAGCTGACCAGGCCAAATTTGGCCCCTGGGCCTTATGCTTGACACACTGTTCATACCTTAAACCCAATACTTATCTCAAAGTGTTACATCTTCTTACAAGTATTACTATGCTATGTCATAGGAGAACCCGTTATATTGTTAAGCCAGCAGTCACGGAATGCATAATAAAAGTATTTTCTATTAGTTCACTTTTCCCACAAGCATAACAATAAACAGTTTTTAATACCTGAAGAAGCACAAAGGTACAACAGACTGTTCCCCAGCTGTTGTAGTAGACCACAGCTGTGACTTTGGTAACTTTGGTACTGAAAACTGTTCCTCAGTGTTCACTCAGTGACAGGCATCAAAAAGCATAAACGTGATTTTCAGGCTGTGTGTTGGATCCGTTTGTTGTAAAGTAGGAAAACAAAGTTTTTAGACTTTTTAATTACGTAAAATAATCTTCTTTAAGTACTTTAGTAGTGCATGAGTTGGATAATCAAAATGTGTTTAAAGGAAGTACTCATTATGTAGAAGCACTTTTCAGATTCATGTTCTTTATGTTATTGGATCATTGCAACTCTTGGTGATTTTTATTTCTTTTATTCCTGGGTATATTGCAATTTATCTGCAAAATAGTAAGTAACTAAAGCTTTAAAAGAAATAGTATGGAGTACAAAAGTACAATATTTGCAGCAAAAATATAATAGAGTATAGAAGCATGGTACACGTTCGTACAGGTTGCTCTTTCTGGTTTTGTGTCGTCTTAGTTGTTTGAGTTTTTACTTTACAGTGGAAATGCCTCTTAATTGATCTTGTGGAATATGGACTAAACATCAGTCCAAACCTAATTTGTCCATACGTATATCTTTTATACTTCTTACCAATGAAACATGAAAACCTTCCTCTTTCTGTTCATAAGTGATAAAACACAGCCTTGCTAAACTTGAGATTATCTTATGGTGGGTAATATTAGTTAATATTGACTACAGATATTTACATTTGGCATATTGGCTCTTTTTTTTTCACACCATCAGAGATTTTCAGTGAGACACATTGAAAACACTCAGAATAGCAGTAGCAAGACAGAAGAAAGCAGTAACAAAGGAAGAGGTGGGGTTGACGTGGGTTGCAAAGTGGCTTGTAGATGCAGAGCAAATACAGGGACCTAAATATTATGGCCAGTGTTGAGATTTCTGCCAAGCCTGACTTTGTTGCCAACTTGAATTACACTAAATATGCTTAGTTTGTAATACCGACTTATCTGCAGGCCCTGCTCAGCAAAACTTCTCGCATTCATATTTGAGGTCAAATGTTTGTTGTCGGTGACAACGGAAAACCTAACTGTAATGCCTGCAATATCTTACACAGCAAAACTTTCACTGTATGTGCAAAAGGCTCGAGTCAACCCTTTTTCTTTCAGTCAACCCTATTTTGATATGAAAATGGGAAAACACAAAAACATATATGGAATTGCAGTATACAAGAAAAACAGGGTTTCTACAAGCTTGAAAGTCAGTGTTTGGTAGGAACACTTTCAGTACAGCCTGAACCCTCTTAGGCAAACTTTCTTGTTCTTACAGACTTCAGAAATAGTTCTCGATGCTGGAATCGGATCAATTTTCTGTTCTCAGTCAAGAAGATCTCACACTGCTTCAGTAATGCTCCATTTTTTTTCTATCCAGGTATGCTTCTACTGCACTGACAGTTTGTTTGGGATCACTGTCATGCTGAAAAATAAGCTAAGCTGTTGCTAATAAGACACTTTTCACATAGTATTGGACAAAGGATCAAAATCTACATTTTTATTTCCATCAATTCTGAGAAGATTCCCGACACTACAGGCTGAAAGGCAACTTGAAACCATAGCAGTTTTTTTTCTGCCCTCCCTAAAAAGTTTCAGCTTATAGCCTTTTGGGTTGTTGGTGCAAAAATGCTAATTTCTGTCTGTCAAACATTTTTTGAATTTGTTTCATAGATTCAACTAAAGGAAATGAGAACAAATATGTGCTTTGCCACATGTTGCTAGTAACAAAATGCCTACAAACACAGTTTTACATTAGTTTTTTCCTAAGTTGTCTGTTATGTTTAGACACAACACTTGTTCATCTCTTGAGTGAGGTGCCTTAAGTCACAGTCTTAAGTCTCCTAACAAGCAAAAAAGCATTCCTCTGAAAATGGTCATGTACAAGGACTGAACTGAAAATGAGTGAAAAAACAACCCATGTCTAAAGAAAAATATTGAAAGTTCTTCAAAAAGCTGGAGAACTATTGCTCAAGACCACTTTAAAAATCACAAGAAAGTCTGTCTTCTTGGAAGCAAAATACAAAGAAATAAGGGGTGGCTCAAGACTTTTGCACAGTGCTGCATTTATAATCTTTATCATTAGAGAGCCTCCAGAAAGGACTAAGGCTTATTACTTTATTGTCAGCTCTCTAAAAACACCTGGATCAAAGGTTGCTGTACCCACAATAAGACTGAATGTAATTGTAGGCTTTCAGTTCTGGCACATGACATTTATCTGACAGATGAATAAATACAGTTATCAAAGCCATTCAGTGGAGAGGATGAAAAAAGGATTTGTTTTAAGGAAGAATTCACAAGGTGGGTAT